GTGTAGCTTTGCGCGAAATTCCAAAAACAAACAAACTAAACAAACACACAAACCATGGCACTTTCTTACTACAATGTTTATCTGTACCATTGAACAAGATTTTATAAAAGGGACAGAAATATCGTGAGTTCCTCGAGTTAATGTTAAGAACTGTTCACTTATTATAACTGGGAAAATAATTCTTTCATTATCCAAATATGGCTATAAAGTAATAATCCAAGTTTTTTTTTCCTCTCATAACTCCAGCTACCTATAGAATGAAAAATTATGATTCCTTTAAGTCATTCATATGTGTTTTTTACTTCTTCTAAAATGTCTTTGAATACACACCAGTGACTTTCCTACCAGCTGTCTTTATTTAGCCTAGTGGTTAATATCGAAGAGTCTAGAATTCAAGTTGTGATACTGCAGAAAGTGTTTCACATTTTCACCTGTAAGTACGTTATAAACCGACACTAAATCCGTTTTTTGGATGAATGAACTGGACAAAGTCCATGAGATGATAGATTTTACTATCTGACTACGTTCCTTCTGTTCAATAGTTCATAATGTGGGTTGTCTGTTTCAGAACCCTAAGGATCTCTAATTTGGTGCACTATTAATTTACCATTCACACGTTTGTGCAGCAAATTCAATTAACCCTTTCGTATATATTAAATTTGTTTGTTGCCATATAACTTATCATGGACTATACTGTGATGCAACGGCTGAAAGTTAAAGTAGAGCGAAAAATAAAAAAAGGTATGGGATTTATAATAAAATGAAAAATAAGTTAATCCTTAATATTTAAATAAATAATAACGTGAAAGAGTTAGCATGGATTTCATCTTAACTTTATGTTCAGTCTAGAAACGTAGCTTTCTATTTTATACATTTCAGCCCCTAAGTGGCACAGCCGTATGTCTGCGGACTTACATCGCTAGAATCCGGGTTTCGATACCCGTGGTGGGCAGAGCACAGATAGCCCATCGTGTAGCTTAGCTTTGTGCTTAATTACAAACAAACTTATTCATTTCAATTAGTTTGTATTTATTACATTTATTTGTTTTCATCGAACTTTAGGTACAGTATACTGCCATGCAGTATCCAAAAGCTGAAGTAAAAAAAAAAGATATTAAGATAAAATGAAAAGAAAAGTAATACCCTTAATTTTGATATAAAAATCACAGTGATAAAATTAGCATTACGTCCAGTCGAAAAAAAAATAAATAATCTTTTTCTGTTTTATTCATTTCCAACTTTGTATTTATTACATTTGTTTGTGTTCATCGAACCTTAAATAGCCATGCAGTGTTGTGAGGTGGCAAATTCTATTTTTATTTCGTTGTGGTTTTGTTTACGTTAATTTAGTATTTATTCGATCGTTTAGTTAAACTGTGAATTTTAGTTTACATTTAACACTAACTTTACTTCTGGATAATCACACCAATTTTAAGTTTGCATGAATTATAATGCTGACACCACTTTCTCCTAGCGGTGACTTACAGATATTATTAATGTTACAAAAGAGTATGTAAATAATGATCACGTGAATTGTAATCTAGTAAATAAAAACCTTGTCATAAGCGTAAATAAAGTTAGTTCACGAGAGGTAGTACTTAGGTATGTTTCTTTGGAGGTTTTAATAATTTTGTAGTTATATAAATATTGTTTTTTGGGAGTTAAATGTTTTTGTTATATAATTTCGTTATTTACAGGATTATTAATAGTGATATTGATGGTATGTTTTTTTTCACGTTATAGGAAGTTCTGGTCATGGCCAGGTTTATTAACTGTACGTGATTTGTTTGAAAGTTTTGATAGCTCACATCTGGGGTAATTAAAAAATTGATCGGAGAAAGACAGGTTGGAAACAACTAACAAAATATTCGTCAACCCGTTGATCCATAGATGAAGGAATATAACTTTCAGATTCAACGTTGAAAAGTCACAGAAGCGAGTGCGACAATCTTACAACCGCAAGAGTCTCTAACACAAAGTAAGTATCTTCCTAATAATACGATTATTAAGTATACATCTATTATATTTTATGGTCACTAATTTTACATGAAAATTTTCTGTAAGATGGAAGGGACTGTTAGATCCTAGTTTAATTAAAAATATCCTATATTATGTGTCTAAAATGAAGATATGCGTGTGTTTCTACGTAAGTTATTTTAACATACGAAGAAATGCTCATCGTTCTACGTATTTGTAGAAAAATAAATATAGTCTGAAGACTTGCAGATTCCCCTCTTCTCCTCCCCCCTCCCCAAGATAAAGGACTTATTTTGGTATGTCCGGCTTATAACTTCTGTCCTGCTCTTACTTAGCTAGTCTTCGAACTCTAACTTAATATAAAATGAACAAAAGCAGGAAACTTGAGAAAATCAAGGTTTCAAGAACGTAAACGAATTTTCCGTGTAAGATATGTACTTGACGAAAACTTGGAAGGAGTGATTAATGTAATCATTTCGTTTGTCTAAAGGTAAAGGGGTGTGACTTAGCAAATTCTGTCTTTATTTCGTTAATTCTCGTGTTGATGGTATATTGTTCTTTCGTGTTAATAAGTGTTGTTATTCAATATTTTAAGTTTTATACATATTTTCCTTCCGTTCTTTTGCTACTTTAGTATTTCTATAAATATTAAGACTGTTATTGATGGTATATTGTTCTTTCTTGTTAATAGGAAGTTCTGGCCACTGACTCGTTCATACACTGTATGCAGGCTACTTGATAGTTTATAGGTGCCAAATAAGTACTTAACATCATCTGGAACCGTAGATGAACGAACAAACCTATCTATGAATGTTATACAGAAGGTAATATCCAACGTTGAAAATATCGAAAGCTACAGCGAGAACCTTACACCCGTTAGGCTCTTTCTGACACAATTAAAAGTAGGTAACTCGCTACTATCATTAACACATAAAATATTCTGTAGTGAATCTTACTCAAATTTATTCTAATATATGAATAGACTATGGAAAGTCACTACTTCTGTTACTCCATTTTTATGTAAATTAGATTATACCGTGTTCATGATAGGACAATTACATGTTTAAAATATTTTTCCAGTGAATTCTTCCGACACCAGAGAAAATGCTCATCGTTCTATGCCGTTGCAGAAAATTTCAATGGCGCAAGAAGGCTTTGAAATTGCGCCTCCACCCTTTCCATCAAAATAAAGGACTTATTCTGGTGTGTCGACATATCATTCTTCGATGTAACTTTCTGATAAGTCATCTATATGTTAAGTCGAGCACTTTCTGTAAAGTGAGCCAGAGCAGGGAAGTAGAAAAGATAAATATTCAAGAATATGAATTTTCTTTTTGTAAGATATCTGTACTGTAATTATAAAGGATTCTTGGTGTCGGCATAATGAGGGCGTCAGAAGTAAGGATACTACAATTGGAAATTAATCATTTCGGTTTTCGAAAGTAGGACTGTGAGGAAGCAAATTCTTTTTATTTTCTCATGGCTTTGTTTACAGTCAACTTATACTTTCTATCTTTTAGTTAATCTATCAATTTTTAGTTTACTCTCAAACGCTAACTCTCCTCCTAGCTAATCGCATCAAATTTTAGATTCTTAGTTATCAGAGTAACACCAGTTTCCCATATCGGTAACGTACAGATATTTAACATTGGTAAATAGTATGTAAATAATGATTACATGAATTAATCTGTTCTAACTAGTTATTTAATTATTGCAGCTTAGCTTGTCTTTGAACTCGAGGACGTCCCTGATGAGTCATTTATGGCCTCTGCTTAACGTAAGTGGTCTTTGAACTCTAACACTTCCTCTAAAGTGAACCAGAGCAGGAAAGTAGAGAAGATGAAGATTCATGAACATGAATTATTTCTTTTTTGTAAGGTATCTGTACTGAAACTGTAAAGGGTTCTCGGTGTCTGTATAATGAGGCCGTTAAAAGTAAGAATACGAAAATTAGAAATTTAGGAGTGATTAATGTAATCACTTCGGTTTTCGAAAGGAGTGTGAGGTAGCAAGCTATCTTATTTTGTTATGGTTTTGTTTACAGTTAATTTATTCTCCCTATCGTTTAGTTAATCTGTCAATTTTTAGCTTAACCGCTAACTCACCTCCTCGCTAATCGCATTAACTTTCAGATTCTACGAGTTATCAGACTGACACCAGTTTCCCATATCGGTGATGTACAGATATTTAATATTGGTAAATAGTATGTAAATAATAATTACATGAATTAATCTGTTATTCTAACTACTTTATTAATTATTGCAGCTTAGCTTGTCTTTGAACTCGAGGACGTCCCGTAACCTGAGCCGGAATGTAGAGAAGGTGAAGATAGAACATGAACGAATTTTCTTTGCAAGGTATATGTACTCAAACTAGACAGGATTCATGATGTCGGTACAACGAGATCGTTAAAATTAAGGATACGAAAATTTGAACTTGGGAGTGATTAATGTAATCACTTCATTTTTTTCGAAATGGTAAGGAGTGTGAGGTAGGAAGTTCTATTATTTCTTTATGGTTTTGTTTTCAATTCATTTTATTATTCTTTGTATTGTTTAGTTTATCGATGAAATTTTGGTTTACATTTAAACGCTAACTCGCCTTCTAGCTAATTACATCATTTAAAGTTCATAAGAGTTGTGAGACTGACATTTTCTCTATCGGTGACTTGCAGATATTAATGTTGGTAAAGAGTGTAAAAATGAATTGTTAATCTCTTGAATATAAACCCTGTTATTAGCTTTAATGAGTTTGCTCACGAGAGTTAGTGGAGAAGTGTCGATTAGTTATTAGATGTTTCGTACTTTTGTATGTTTTCTTTTTCTAATTTCTTTTATTTATTGAAATATTAATCCTGATATTGATGATATACTCTTTCATGTTAGTTTATACTTAATGATAGAACAATTTTACTTCTCTAAAATGAGAAGAAATATCTTGTAAAAAAAATTATTTCTATACTAGAGAATGCTCATCGTCCTATGTCGTTGCAGAAAAATAAATGGCGACACAAGGCTTAGAGAATGTCTTCTCCCCCCCCCCCTCTATTAAGAGAATTTGTTTTGACGTATCCACATCTCATCCTTCGACTTGTCATCTGCTCAACCTAGATGTTCTTCAAACTCAAGCACGCCCTGTAAGGGGAACTACAGCAGGAAACTAAAGATCAATTGGAAAGTTAAGAACATAAACAACTTGTCCTAGTATCTGTACTTAACAGTTAGGGGAGGATTCATAATGTCAGTATAACGAAGGCCTTAAAAGTAAGAATACTAAAATTGGGAATTTTGTAAGGAATGATTTAATATTATCACATTCTTTGTCTAAAGCGGAAGGAGTGTGAGATAGTATATTCTATTATTTTATTATAGATTTCTTTGTCGTTCGTTTATTATTCATTCTATCATTTAGTTAATCTCTGGATTTTTATTTACACTTAAATGTTAACTGACCTCCTAGCTAATCTCGTTAATTTTTAATTTATACGAAGTATGAGACTGGCGTCAGTTTCCCCTATCAGTGGCGTGCAGATATTAATATTGGTAAAGAGTATGTACATGATTTGTATTTAATATACAAATTAACTGGTCTTAGAACAAACTTCGTTAAGCTGAACTACAACCGAAAGAAAGTCGAATATATAAGACAATTGTTTCTCCTTGTACCGTTTCTGTATTTAAACTGTGAAGGATGTCAATATAACTTTAAAAGTAAGGAACTAAAATTATAAATTGATTAATGTAATCACTTTATTTTTTGAAGGTGAAATAGTGTGAGGTAAGTTTAATTCTATTTTGTTTTCTATTTGGTTACCGTTTATTATTCATTCTATCAACATTTAATGTGTGAATTTTTAGTTCGCATTTCATTTATTCACATCAATTTTAAATTTGAATTATGAGACCGACATAAGTTTTTTTTAGTGGTGATTGTAGATGTTCAAGTTTTTAATGAGTATATAAATAATGATTACATTATTTTATCTCTTTGTCTAACTAGTTAATTATTGTAGCTTATCTGGTCTTTGGACTTCCCGTAACCTGAATCGGAGCAAAAGGAATAGCAACAGAAGATCACAGAACACTACGCTTTTTCTTTGTAAGGTATAAGTGCTTAAACTGGGCAGGATTTATGGTGTCAGTAAAATGAGGCCATTAATAGTAAGGGTACTAAAATTGGGAACTTGTAAGCAGTGATTAATGTGATCACTTCGGTCTTCAAACGGGGAAAGAATATGAGGTAGCAAATTCTATTTTTATTTCGTTATGGTTTTGTTTTCTGTTCATTTATTATTCTCTCTATAGTTTAGTTAACCTTAACATTTGTTTTACGTTTAAACGCTACTTCACATTCTAATCAATTACGTCATTTAAAGTTTCTAAAAGTTATGAGATTGACACCAGTTTCCATTACCGGTAACTTGCACATATTTGTTGCAAAGTTTTTAATTTAATGTTTTGAATAAAATATTTGTCACGAGTTTCAATTAATTTTCTCACGTGAGATAGTGATCAAATGTTATTTGATGTTTTAAGTTTTATACACTTTCTTCCGTTCCTTTTTCTATTTATTTATATAAACATTAAAACTGTTATTGATGGCATATTGTTCTTTTGTATTAGTGTGAAGTTCTGGCCATGGGCTCATTCATAAATTGTATGCAAGCTATTTGATAGTTTACAAGGAGTCAAAGAAGGACTTTTTTGGAAACAAAATATCCAACATTACCTGCAACCGTAGATGAACGAACAGATCTACCTAGAAATGTTATACAGAAGGCAATATCCAACGTTGAAAAACATTGAAAGCTACAGCGAGAAGTTTAAATCCGTTAGTCTCTTTCAGACAAAATTAAAAGTACGTAATTCACTACTATAATTAATGCATAAATTATATTCTGTAGTAAATTTTATTCTAATATTGAATGGAATATTCAAAGTTACTACTTGTGTTACTGTATCTTTATATAAATTAGGTTATATCGTGTTAACAGGACAATTTTAAGTTTCTAAAATGTATTTTTTTCCAGTGAATTTTTTCCGACACCAGAGGAAATGCTCATCGTTTTCTGCCATTGCAGAAAATTTCAATGGCGGAATGAGGGTATTGAAATTGCGCCCCCTCCATCAAAATAAAGGACTTATTCTGGTGTATCCACTTCTCATCCTTTGACGTAACATACCAATGAATCATCTACGTGTTCTAGTTTACAGGAAGTGCTCGAGTTCAGGGACTATTTACGTTAAAGTGAACCAGAGCAGAAAAGTAGAGATGATTCAAGAACATGAATTATTTCTCTTTGTAAGGTATCTGTACTGAAACTGTAAACGATTCATGATGTCAGTGTAATGAAGCCGTTAAAAGTAAGGATACGAAAATTGGGAATTTAGGAGTGATTGATGTAATCACTTAGGTTTTCGAAAGGAGTGTGAGGCAGCAAACTATTTTATTTTGTTATGGTTTTGTTTATAGTTAACTTATTCTTTCTATCGTTTAGTTTATCTGTTAATTTTTAGTTTACACTTAAACGCTAACTCACTTCCTGGATAATCGCATTAACTTTTAGATTCTAAGAGTTATCAGACTGACACCAGTTTCCCATATCGGCGACGTACAGATATTTAACATTGGTAAATATTATGTAAATAATAACATGAATTAATCTGTTGTTCTAACTAGTCACTTAATTATTGCAGCTCGGCTTATCTTTGGACTCGAGGATTTTCCGTAACCAGAGCAGAAAGGTAGACAATAAGAAGGAAGAATTTGAACGAATTTTCTTTGTAAGATACATGTATTTAAAGTGGGCAGGTTTCATGATGTCAGTATAACGAGGTCGTTAAAAGTAAGGATACGAAAACTGAGAATTTAGTGATTTAATGAAATCACTTTTTCGAAAGAGCAAGGAATGTGAGGTAGCAAATTCTATTTTTATTTCGTTATGGTTTTGTTTTCAGCTCATTTATTATTCTTTCTATCGTTTAGTTATCCTGTGAAACTTGTTTTAAATTTAAATGCTACCTCAAATTCTATTTAATTAACATTTTTAAGTTTGTAACAGTTATGAGACTGACATCAGTTTTCCATATCGGTGACTTGTAAATAATAATGTTGGTAAATACGGTAAATAATGTATCTAGAACATAAACCCTGTCATGAGCTTCAATAACTTTGCTCACGAGAGATAGTGAAGAAGTGTCTATTAGATATTTTTTAGTTTTGTGTATGTTTTCTTAACTCCCTTTATTTACTGAAATATTAATCCTGATATTAGTGGTATATTTTTTCATGTTAGCACAAAGTCCTCACCACTTGCATATCCATATGGTCTATACGAACTACTTAACTTTATAAGGGTTCAAAGAACGACGTTTTGAAAACAACCAGCGAACACAACTATTTTAAGACGTTATACAGAAGACAAGATCCAATGTTTGCAAGCTAGTAACGGTAAGTCACAATTAAAAGTAGTTGACTTTCAAATAATATTACGAATACATCCATTATCTTCTGCAGTAAATAATTTTACTCAAGTTTATTTTAAATTGAATTTTACTGTTCAAACTCGCTGCTTGTGATTAATTCTTTTTTCTCCAATTACAATTCCTTGATACCATTCTTATCCTAGGCATTTTCACAAGATCAAATGCTGCAAGAAGGCTTGGAGATTTGCCCAACAAAGTAAAAAAAAAACTAATTCTGGTGTATCCACATCTCATCCTTAGACATAACATGCTAATGACTTTTGTCTTTTGCTCAACCTGGCTAATCTCTGAACTCAAATTTTCTATAAATTGAATCACAACAGGAAAGAAAAGGTGAAGCTGAAGATTCAAGAATATGAATTATTTTCACTTGTAAGGTTTCTGAAACTGTGAAGGATTCAGTGTTAGTATAATGAGGGTGTTAAAAGTAACGAAACGAAAATTGGAAGTTTAGGAATGATTAATGTTATCACTTAGGTTTCTAAAAAGGGGAAGGAGTGTGAGATAGCAAACTCTTTTTATTTTGTTATGCTTCTGTTTACCATTCAATATTTTCTTGTATCGTTTATTTAATCTGTCTATTTTTAATTTACATTTAAACGCTAACTCACATTCTATTAAATCACATCAATTTTTAAAATTATAAAAATTATCAGACTGCAGCCGATTTTCCATGGGGATGACGTACAGATATTAATGTTGGGAAAGTGTGCACATGATTATCACATGAATTCTGATGTCTAGATGCGATTAGTTTAGTTAATTATCACAGGTTAGCTGGTCTTGGAACCCAGGAACTTCCGTTGAACTGAATTAGAGCCGGAAGCTAAAGCCGAATATAGAAGAAAAGAGATTGATTTAGTCTTGAAAGGTATGTGTATTTAAATTGTTAAAGATTGACGATGTCACTATAATGAGGGCGTTAAAAGTAAGGATACTAAAATTAGGCATTTTGAACAGTGATTAATGTAATCCCTTTGTTTTTCTGAAGGGGAAGGAATGTGAAGTAGCAGGTTCAATTTTTTAGTTTTGAATTTGTTAACCTTTCTATTGTTATTCATTCTCTCGTTTGGTTAAGTTGTAAATATTTAGCTTTACATATAAACACTAACTCACATTCTAGTTAGTCACATCAATTTTTAAATTTGTATAAATTATCAGATTCAAGACTTTTCCATAACGGTGACATGTATATGTTAATGTTTTTCAAGAGTATGTAAATAATCACATGATTTTAAATCTCTTAATATAAATAGTTTATTCTAGCTTAGCTTATCCTTCAACTCAATTCCTCTAAGCAGAGCCGGAAGGTAGAGAAGCTAAAGATGGAAGAACACTGCGATTTTTCTTTGTAAGGTATATGTACTTAAACTGGGCAGGATTCATGATGTCAGTATAATGAGGATCTTAAAAGTAAGGATACGAAAATTGGGAATTTATAAACGGTGATTAATGTAATCACTTTCTTTTCGAAAGGGGAAAGGAATGAGAGGTAGCAAGTTTAATTTTTATTTCGTTATGGTTTTGTTTTCAGTTAACTTATTCTTTCTATTGTTTAGATAACCTATACAATTTTAGTTTTCCCTTTAAACACTACCTCGCATTCTACTTAACTACGTCATTTAAAGTTTCTAAATGTTGACTGACACCAGTTTCCTGTATCAGTAACTTGCAGATATTAATATTTCAAAATATGTAAATGTTAATATCAATTTTTAATTTTTACAATAAGTTTTGTCACGAGAGATAGTAAGCGTTATTGGTTATTATTGAAGACTTTATAAACTGTAGTTTTGTACATATTGTAATTTTAAATTCCTTTTATAGAAATATTAATCCTGACGTTTATGGTGTATTCTTTTATGTTAGTAGAAATTTCTTGCAATAGGAATATCCATAAACTACATGTAAACTGTATAATTAATTTTATAAGGGGTCAAAAAAGGACGTCTTAGAAACAACTAACAAAATACCCAATATCACGTGTAACCGTAGAAGAACGAACAGAAGAACTTGGATATTAAACGGACGATATCTAAAGTTGAAAATACATCGAAAGCTACATCGAGAAGCTTACAACCGTCAGTATCTTTCGGACACAATTAAAGGTAGTTAATTTAGTGCTACTGTTATTAAGAATATATTCAT